GGTATAAAATATGTTGATATTTATTTGAGTTTGGGGCCCCAAAGACCTTTGAACTGCGCACTAGTCATCATCTCATTTCGCCCGCCTGAAAAAAAATGCGTCCACAAGCCGAAAATAATACGCAGCGAATGAATTAAGTACTTCTAAAAAAAATCATTTTGACGAGATTAACGAGTAAATTTCCTCTTTGAAAGCACAGAGTTCCCCACGTCGTATAGATACGGTAGTAAAACACGACGTACGGATAGGGTTAAGCCGTTTTTAATGCTCTGAATTCCCTTGTCTTGGCCAAATTCTTGACTGAAGTTAAGTTAGGTTCGGAGATTCCACTTTTTAACTGACATTTTAGTACCATTAAGAGCGATAAACTTGTGTACATCTCCAGACACCTGTCAAACTAGGTGGTTGATTTGTCTTTATTTCACTTACCAATTCTAAAGATACATGTATATTGCAATCCTGCTTTGTTCCTCATTAAGTGTATGACAGTGATCGAAAGACTCAATTCCAAGGCATCCATATTCATCCTCTCTCCGTTCTTGATGTCGAAGTTCAAGTAACTGAAGGAACTTTCTGTGAGGGCAAGACCATAAAATGTCAAGCAATTTTCGGCTGATCACTTTTAGATTGTCAACTTCCTACATTTAAGCGTGATACTAACTAAGCTGCCGTCGTTCCTGTATAGGAATCTACATGTAAATCTTGAACTTTTCCGTAAGAGCTGAAATGCAGGGGTCTTGTAGATGTCTTTAGGAGTTAAAAGTATACATAACTTTTCTTTTTTTAAACAAGGGTTTTATGCCCCTGTCAGCACAATTTAGATCATCTGGAAGACCCTGTCTGTTAGAGCCTAACTGGGCTGAGAGGAATACAGCGTTTCAGCAGAAAGATAGAGATTCTTGAAATAAAGTCTCCGCACACGGGAATCAAACTCGGGTCTTCTGTATGCGACGGCGAATGGCCTAACTGCTACACTACTGACACTGGTATTATTCAGAACTTGCAGAATGACAAAGAGGACAGAGATGTATTGGGATGTAAAGTGTGAATTTTATATTATGGTACCTTTTGTGCTTCGTGGTTGTGAAAGGGCCGGCCGAACTCTTATCTCTATGTGGTTTGCTACTTCTTTCCTATCAAACATCTAGCGTCCTTATCTCCCCTTCTTCTTTTTATGTTTGTTACTCTCTTGTAACTCCTCTAATCTTCTGGCGCTCATATGACCTTATGCAGTTGCGAGCGCAGTAAAACCTTTACTAAAACTAAGAGGACTGACCTCAGTGAATTCTCCTGGTTGTTCCGTGTGTTTGTGCTGCCCTTACTATGCTACTGCCTGAGTCATAGTCGAAGCGTTGAGCGTCGACAAGTAGATGATCAGATACGAGGGAAGCATGTTCTTCTTGGTGAAAATGGTGCACGATTCTGTGCCTCTTAAACAAATTACAGAGCCATTGTGACTGACCACATCCTCGTGTCCTTTCGATTCAAAATCTTAGCAGCTTAAAATCTGTCAAATTGCAAAGGGCAGTATTATTTTCCCTTTACATTTAACAATTCTATTTGCATTGTTTGCATTGGCCAATTTAGATCCTACAGATTCGATATGTCGTACAAGTGTGCACCCAGTATTAGATTATTGTTCAATATAGTCCTCTCAACCCTGTTCTGCAATCAGCCTTGCCTTGCAATGGCAGTGGTTCCCAGTGCTCAAATGTGTTATGTTTCTATTCAAATTTTAGCCAGTTTGGCTTCCCCCCCCCTCCCCCGCAAACACGCTTTCAACTTCAAAACTTTCTCTTCTATATAATCACCACTCGTTGTTTTGTAAAAGAAATATTTTTTAAAACTTTAATGGAAATGTTTTTTACGTCCCCGTTGACACATTTAGATCATTAAGGAGGCGGGTTTCGGTCATGCCCTTGAGGGACATCCTTGGCTGAGAGGGATGCAACATCCTAGTGGAAAGACTTAGATTGTCGACAAAAGATTCTCCCCGATCTGGAATCGGGAGGCGTCTATGCCGCCACACCATAGACGGCGGAGTGAAGAAACCAAAATGTCTTGAAAATCGTAGTTTGTTTGTTTTAGTAAGTGTTTTATGGCACTTGCAACACAATAAGGTCATATAAGTGCCGAAGATTAGAGGTGTTACAAGAGAGTAACAAACACGAAAAAGAAGGAGGGGAAATAAAGATGATAGATGTTTGATAGGCAAGAAGAAGCAAACCACACCAGGGCACCCGCCACCCACCCACAAAATCGTAGTTTTAAAAAAAAGTAAATGAAATTGTTTAGTGGTCTGCGGTGTAACAGTCAGGAGCGTCGTCGTCGCCCGGAGGATACGTGAGTTCCATTCCCGTGAAGGGAGAATTTATCATCCAGGTCTTTTTGTTAAGATGGAGTACCCTTCTTAACCAGACCTAGTAGTGTCGATAGGGGCATACAACTTCTACAACTACATTGTTACAAACGTTGAGTGGGTGGTTGGCGGGTGCTCTGGTGTGGTTTGCTTCTTCTTTCCTATCAAACATCTATCGTCCTTATCTCTCCTCCTTCTTTCTTGTGTTTGTTACTCTCTTGTAACACCTTTAATCCCCCGCACTTATATGACCTTATTGTGTTGCAAGTGCCATAAAACTCTTACTAAAACTAAAACTAACGTTTACCCGTAGATAGATTGTCAGCGTGTCGCCTTGGAAGCGTTATCATCAGTGATTGTCATCGGCGATAATATCTTCATGATAACTACTCAGTTACAGAATTCGCAGACTTGGAACACGCTTATCTACACGGACTACAAATCAAAATGGAAAAAAAAAATCTTTGAAATGTAAACAAAATATGAGCTGAACGCAAAGCATTGAGGTTCGAATTACATGCAGTTTTATTTGCTTAATGAATCTCTTCACAAATGAAAAGAAACCCCCAAAAAAATCTGAAGTAGAAGAATGAGAACTTAAAAACGTGTAATCAGCACTCTAAAAAGTAATACATACATGAGTAGAAACAACATTGCGATAACATAGTTTAAGAAGAGGAATTAAAACGTGCAAGTAAACTCTTGGAAAAACAAAATCGTAATCATTTCTCGCAATAGCAATTCATGAAGAGAGATGTAGAGAAGTGGAGAGAGACAGAGGATGGGAGAAGGACAGAGATAAAGTAAGACACAGACAAGAAAGAAAGAGGAAAGAAAGGGAGGAGGAGGAAAGAAGGAAAAAGAGGAGGAGAGGCACAAATACACATATTATAGAGAGTTGAGAGAGAGAGGGGGGGTAGAGAGGGAGAGAGAGAGAAAGAGAGAGAGAGAGAG